ATCAAGTTCATTATCAGGAAAGGGCATTTGAGGTGATCTCTCCACTATTGCTTAGCTTGCCAGTTGGTATTATCACTTTAGATCACTAGAGGTCTCACTGGTGCCTGATCTGTCTTTTAACCTATGATTCCCTCTTCCCCCTATTCTACCCCCCACTCGACCTTCCTGTTCCCCCATGACCTACTCTCTCTTCCTCTTCTCCCCCTCAACTCTATATCTTAATGAGAGATATCTTGGCATACACGCTGGTATCTCTCACCCTCAACTCAGATATTTTTGAGTTCATCACCTACTTTCATTGCATATGAGTCCTGTGACTTTGTGAAGTCAGTTAACATACTAGAACTTTAGTTTTCATACCAGCCTTACTCTGTCAAATAGATATCTCAGATAAACAACAGATTGACTCAATTCTGTATAATTCTAGTCATTCATTTGTTCATTTCCTGACAACTCCTAGATATGTAACAGCTTCTTCAGAATATACTGAGGAGCCTTTGAGCACCTTTTCATTGCCTATCTACACTCTGTCGTCTTCTCTGTGTCTGCTCCAATAACAGAGTTGTGTAGAAGCAGACTTCTGGGCAAAATAAAAAGTCCCGTCAGAGAACATAAAACTATCATTAATCAGCTTTGTATTTGCTGTTTACTCTTAAGGACATGCTTACTTTGATCTTCAAAAATGAGCTGTGTCTTAAATAGTAGATATGCAGGCACTACTAAGTCTTAGTTCTTAGCAACTAGGAGACCGAGGGTATTTCGTCAAATGCTGTTATCTGAAGACACAGCAAAAATGAAATGTGCAGTAGCTATTCAAACCATTATCCAGTTTAATGATTAACCTGAAATTCATTTAATTACTCAAAAAATACTAAGACCTTGATAGTTACTGTTTTTACTGTTAAACATAAAACATCCACTCACCTGAGCAGAAATTCACATTTACTTGGATAGATGCTACAAAACAATGAGCCACCACTGTTTATACTCCTAGAAGTACTCAATGAAAAGGATTCGTGAGCCAAGGTGATTTTGAGCATGCAATAATTTATATGCATTACAACACTTAAAATGGAAATGGTTGCAGAGTGAGGATGGGGTAATATCTCAGTTAGCAAATGTGTTAAAATGCTTATCTATTGGGCCATGGGTAGTAGATCAGTATTTATCCCTGGCATACAAATGGACTTGGGGTGCCCATCCAACAATGAGAGATGCCCTCTCACCCTGGACTCTTGGGGGAGAGTCTAGGCCCTGCCCTGGATGAAATGACAGACTATGGACACCCCCATGGAGGGCCTCACCCTCCCTGGGGAAATGAGGGGGTATTGGAGAGGGTTGGTGGGAGGGCATGGGAGGAGGGGATGGAAAGGGAGAAGGACCTGGGATTGACATGTGAAGCAACCTTGTTTCTAATTTAAATTTAAAAATAAAAATTAAAAAATGCTGATTATTTTCATTAAAAAGTCACCACTGTGAGGTAGAGACAGGATCCTTGAACCTTAGGTACAATGAGAGACACTGTCTTAAAAAAACTGAGGGACATCAGCAACAGAATACCAAAGTAGACAGGGAAAGCTTGTGAGGCTTTAACTCCTCTTGCTCAGATGGGTAACTAAGGAATACACAGAGCAGAATTAGTCTTCTCCAGGAGAGAGCATACCAATAGTTTTTCCAATATAAAATGGTCAGCCCTGAAAAATACATAAGGTAACATTACGCAGTCTGAGAAGGTTACATTTAGAAACATTTGTGCATATGCACATGCGTGTGTGCATATACAGTCGTTAGTGACAAAAGAGGGCAGGAATGCTAAAGAAAACAAGGATAAGTGTATGAGAGGCAAGGGAGGGGGGAAAGAGAAGGGAGAATGACATAATTTTAATCTCAAAAACAGAAAACATCTGAGCTAGGAAGAAACTGAAGACACCTGATATTGACCCCTGAGCCCCGCACGCACCTGCACACACGGATGCATATAAATATGGATATGCTTGCCTCCACACACAAACAGGCAGCTTCAAGAGTGAGACTGTGTAGCAGATCTTTCTTAAAGGCCGAGGCATGACTACCAAATTTGATAGATGGGAATAGAGGGAAACTTAATATGCTTTTGAGATGTTTTCTCTACATACGGCTTTTGTCTCCTTGTAGACAGAAAATAAAAATATGAATAGGAAAAAAGGTAACTACAAGAGAATAAAATAGGAGAAATGTAAAAGAAAGGAAAGAAGGAAGAGCTACTCTATAAATTGCTAGTTTAATCTTAAAATCCTTACTCAAAGCATAGTTTTAGAGGTTATGAATACAGCTTCATGATATGTACAGCATGGACACAGGCCAGTCCAAGACTCAATATTAGGCCTCCAGAACCTAGATCGAACTATTATTATCAATTCTGTACAGAACAATAGAACTCAGTCAAAATAACTCAATGTCTTCACGTTATCTTTACAGGTAACATAAGGCAATCAGTCAGGCCAGCAATTATCTGTACTTTCTCCTACTTCTTTATCTCTCCATTGTGCAAAATTTCATAGGAAACAAGCCAGCAAAGATTTAGTGCCCAACACGCACTGCACTAGCCTCAGAGGAAAGAGACCAGTCAAAAGCTCTTTCTGCTCTGTTGACAGGGATTGGGATAAACACAATAAAAATTCTGAGGTGGAACACACTGGGATGGACAGACATTTAGAATTAAGTCAATATTATCATTTTACTCATGCAGGGAAAGGAAAAATGGAGGTTCATGCATGAAAATTGTGATCCCACCCCCATGGAGGGCCTCACCCTCCCTGGGGAAATGAGGGTATAATGGGGGGGTTGTGGGGGGAGGGCACGGGAGGAGGGGAGGGAAAGGGAGACGGATCTGGAACTGGCTTGTGAAGCAACCTTGTTTCTTATATAAATTTAAACTGAAAAATAAATTTAAAAAAAAAGAAAATTGTGGTCCCATTATCATTGCAATCACCTCTTCTGGAAGTCACTTCATTTTGGAAAGAAACAAACCTTAAACAAGAGAGTTTAGATCCAGGATATAAGGTTCTGGCAAGAGATGTTATTTCCTCATATTTTTGTTTTATTTGTTTGCTTGTTTGTTCATTCATTTGTACTATTGCCCCAATAAGTGCACTTAATTATTAGATACCTGGTGTCAAAAAGTCTTGATTCTCTGTAAAAACAGGAAAAGTGTCAATCTCCTCCCTGTTCATGAAAATTCATGATTAACACCTCTCTATTAAAAGATGGTAGCACAATAAATTAACAAGTATAACAAGTATATTAAATTATATCTTTATATGACATGGTTACATTCAAATGGATGAGTCTAAGACTCAAGGTGGAGTCCAAGACTTATGTTATCTATTTCATACTCAGTTGAGAAACTCATCAAAACCTGGATATTCAGCTTCTTCTTAGTCTCTCAAATAAAGGATATCTCCTCCAGAGTATGGGACAAGACACCTGAAAGAGAGTCGTATGGTCTACTACCTCACAGAGTATGCCAGAGAACTTTATGGTGAGCTCCAAAAAAGCAAACACCTGTTTTTAAGTTTTATGGCTTGCTTTGTGGAAAGAGGCTGTATTTCTCAGACTCATCTCACAAGCAGAAAGCTCATTTTCACACATTCAGGAGAGGATCAAAGTGGGGTGCTGGCATGGGGTGGGGAAACAGAAATAGAAAAAAAATTAGGACAGGGTACTAACATGTATTTCAGTCTGACCTGGAACTCACTACATATTCCAAACTGCCAAACTGGTCTATCTCTAGCAGTCATCATGCCTGTAGCTCTCCAATAGTGGGATCACAGGAGTGTGTCACCATAGCCTAGAGTGTTACTCCTAAGGCCTTTAGTTTCAGATAGGATTTTCTGATATCAACAGAGGAAAACCACAAAGTAAGTTAAGAAATATTCAACCAGCTATAAACTATTGATATTGCCCAATAAACCACAATACCCTTTAATGACGATTGTTGTATTGAGAGAATAAGGGATAATGAGTAAACCAAAGGTGTTTGTGGACTGAGACCCTATGGTCACCATATGCTTCACAATAAGAGTCAGTGTCAAAATCAAGTCCAAGTGTCATTTCTTACTGCCCTACATATGCTGATTCACCAAATACATTGTCTCATTTTATAGACATAGAGAAGGTAAATGGCTCCTCTAAGGTCATGTGATTAAAAAATGATGCATTACTGGTAAGAATTAGAATGTTCTGTTTTACTGACTTCTGTCTGTCTTGAATTTTTTGGTGGCACAGGACCCTTCATCATTTCATCATTTTGTATGTTGTAAGGTGCATATGTTTATATGTGGGTTATAAATATTGTTGTTGTGACTTTAACATTTACCAGGGAAAATGATAGGACACTGATTATTTAAGCCACATTACTTATACAGTTCAGTAACATCACATATTTACTCATCCCTGTTCAATGACCCATGACCACAAATTCCTCTCCCACCCCAACAAAAACTCTGTACCCATTAGACAACAACTCCTCCTTCCTTATTCTTTCACCCCCTAGCAGTCATTCGTGAAAATTATTTTCTGGCACAAAGAAATCTTAAGTTTTAAGCTTAGTTTTCAGTGAAAAATATTTTAACTATATGTGAAGAAGAGCGGATACAAGAAGGAGAAAAATTTGTAACCAGCCCTTCAGTATCATGAACTCTGTGAGGGTGTTGTATATATCTTTAAAAGTCTCTCTACCTCCCAGCCTGCCTCCTCAATATTTGTTCCCAGGAATTTTATGTCTCCATGTTTCCTTTCCTTCCAAGAGCAGTCAGCAAGGGCAAATTCCTTTGTAGTTTCAGAGGCAGGCTTGTTGCCATGGAACCCACAATGCCACTGGAGTAGACTAGTAAAAGGTAACCACTAAAGATCTGGTCAATAGATAGGCTGTGTTTCTTCTTCTGGAAAAGCCTGACTGGTAGGATTCCTTTAAGGGCACAGCCCCAAAGTGCTTTATGTCATCACTCCAGCTCCTTGAAAACTGAAGCTTTAGGAGACCTCTGAAAGAGAACCTGTAGGTTTCAGCGCTTACCACCAATGGCCAATCTGAGGGGCAGTGTTGTTACTAATGGGACTCTTCACAATCCCAAGACTCAGCAGCACAAATGGCAAAGCACTGACTGTGTGAAAAATGGAATCCCCAAAGAAGCCCAGGTAAGAAGTAGTCTCCTACATTCTTAAACTGCACGGCCCAAATATCTCCATATTTCTTAGCAACACAGTTTAAGGCAATCTTTACTCAAAGTTTCTCTCGTGCTATGTTTTATGGTGTTGGCTCTGCACTTCAGCTAATGTTTCATTATGCGTGGCTGCTACAAAGCTTAGATGTGGCTATACAGGAATTTCTTCTCTAGACAAGAAAAGATGCATACAGAGTCACATTCTCTAGATTCTCTAAAATGCAGACTTGTAAACTTTTCATTTATTCTCAAGCATTTGGGGGGACAAGCTTGTGAAATATTAAACTCTTGGGCCTACCAAATAGATTGCTACACTCATGATGCTTCAGGAGAAAAAGAGAAGTGATCCTAAATCTTGCAGAGATCATGTGGTCGATAACACTTGTCTCTGGTGCATATGAAATGCCTTTCTGGTCGAACAGATCTTTTTAGTGTTTAACAGAGCATTGTCAAAGTTCACAGCCTGATTAGAGGCTGGAGTATCTATCTCTTAGAAATTTGATCCCTCCAGTATTCCTTTCTAAAACCCACTTCTGGGAGTGTAGCTTAGGGTGTCTACACATGGAAAGCAAAGTAGCCTCTTTAAAACAGACATTCTGCTTATTTCCATTTCATATTTCCCCCATCTTTTTTGCCTCTGCTGTTGCAAAATATTTGAGGGAATGTCTCATGGAAGAGAAAATTGAGACAGTATTCAAATGGGTGTCTCTAGTCTGGGAGGTTCTTTTTTTTTTTTCAGTTTAAATTTAGATTAGAAACAAGGTTGCTTCACAAGTCAGTTCCAGGTCCCTCTCCCTTTCCCTCCCCTCCTCCTGTGCCCTCTCCCAACCCCCCAATATCCCCTCATTTCCCCAGGGAAGGTGAGGCCCTCCATGGGGGTGTCCATAGTCTGTCATTTCATCCGGGGCAGGGCCTAGACCCTCCCCCAAGAGTTCAGGGTGAGAGTGCATCTCACATTGTTGGATGGGAGTCAAAAGTCCATGTGTATACTCAGGATGAGTACGGATCTACTGCCCAAGGCTCAATAGATTACCTAGGCCTCCTCACTGACACCCACATTCAGGGGGTCTTGATCAGTCCCATGCTGGATTCCCAGGCTGATGCCTAAAATTCAAGAGTTAACCTTTGTCAGGTCAGCTGTTTCTGGGGATTAAACCAGCCCAGTCTTAATCCCTTTGGTCATCAGTCCTCCCTATCTGTTACTGGCTTTCTTGAGTTCAGCTCAGTACTTAACCGTAGGAGTCTGCCTCTTCTTCGATCAGCCACTGAATGAAGGTTCTGTTTCCCAGACTCTCTGGCCATAGGATTGCAGGCTGGCACTCCCCAGATCTATGTCTAAAATCCATATATGAGAGAGTACATGCCATGTTTCTCTTTTTGTGACTATGTTACCTCACTCAGGATGGTTTCTTCTAGTGTCATCCATTTGCCTGCAAATCTCAGGATTCCATTGTTTCTTTCTGCTGATTAGTACTCCATTGTGTAAATGTACCACATTTTCTCCATCCACTCTTCGGTTGAGGGGCATCTAGGTTGCTTCCAAGTGAGGTTCTTGAAGGCAAGTAATTGTGCATGTTGCATACCATGCCAGGACTCTCCAGTCTAAGTCACATGGTGAGCTAACCTGCCTTGAGAACAAGCTTGAATAGACAGATAGGCAATCTCACTGTGGAGAAATAGCAAAGATGTGTGTAGAACCCCTTGTTCAGTCACCCGAGCTAGCCAGCCTTTGCCTGAAGGAAATGTTAGGTTGTGCCAATCACCTAGGACAGAGAAGGATGGCTGGGGTCAGGCTTCCATGAAGTCAATCATTTGTATGTCCAGTTGGAAGGTACAAGGGGCACTCAGGAGCCTGACTTGTGTAGTAAAATGATATGGTCCTCTAAATGTATTCTTCTCTTAACCAAAGACATTGGGATGCATCTACTGGAAATCTCAGGTTGAAACAGAAGGAAGAGAAAGAACATGAGAGAACTCACAGCATTATACCTTATCCATTAAGATCATTGCTAAGTACCCCACAGAAAGAGTTGACATAAACAAGGGGGAGCTCTTGAACCCCAGACTGATGGATAGGAGACCAGCATGGGACTGATCCAGACCCCCTGAATGTGCATATCAGTGAGGAGGTCTAGGCAATCTATGGGGTCTTGGGTAGTAGATCAGTATTTATCCCTGGCATACAAATGGACTTTGGGTGCCCATCCCACAATGAGGGTTGCTCTCTCAATCTAAACTCTTGGGGGAGGGTCTAGGTCCTGCCCTGAATGAAATGACAGACTTTGGAGATGCCCCATGGAGGGCCTTATCCTCCCTGGGGAACAGAGTGGGGGTTGGGTGGGGGTCTAAGGGGAGGAAGAGGGAGCTGGGATTGACATGTGAAACAAGCTTTTCTAATTTAACTAAATAAAAATATATAAGAATTTAAAAAAAAGATGATTGCTAAGATGCCCCTTGTCCCTGAAGTACCTGTTTCACTAGACAATGTTTGCGTCCTAGGTTATTCTGATTCTTGGGTATTTTATTTGACCATAGATGCCTTCAAAACAAGTTTTCCTTTTCTTTACTTATCTTGATTTCATAACTATATTCTAGTGTTTGAAACTGAAAGAGTAAATAGATAGGACAGCGATTCCTATATAAGTGTAGAACCCCACAGTACAGTAACTATACAAGACCACAATATCCTTAGGCATGGAAGCATCTTTAGGCTTTACTGCTGTGGCCTATCTCAGCAACTCTTTCTGAGAAGCCATCCAAATTCTGTCTGCTAAGATAGATTTAGATGTTTCTAAGTTGTAAGTGGCTTCCACTAAGAGCCTCAGTTATGTATTAATAAATATTTTCCTGGAATAATAAACCCCGCTGAGGTCATAACAGACCTAATTTCTCCCCGTAAAGTATAAATAAAGTTGTCTTTATTATAGCGATCCTCAGGCAAAAGTTTTACCTAATGGGACTCTTAATAAGATAGGTCTTAACAAACAGCCTTGCCTTTTGGCAAAAGGAATCGCTGAGGGCCTGCAGGTGTCTGAGGTCAGTGATTTTTCAAATGCTTTGCTGGGACTGAGGTCTCATGGAACAGTGCCTCAAATCCTATGAGCTCCAGGGAAGATCCCTTTAGCTTTTCTTCTGCTTCTTTGTACTCACACAGAAATATAGTCACTACTCTCACACACTATTCCGTAATATTCTGTTGGCAAAAGATTTCCCAACCCAGCAAGCCAAATGTAAACACTTTTAGGCAGTAACTTGGAAACATCCTTCACTTTGTTCCACTGTAGATTGGTGTGAACTCTGTGATACTAGTATGTGGTCTCAGTAGCCCAAGCTTGCAATTAACCAGGAGCCAGAACATTTCTATTTTGGAAATCATCCAGAGTTTCTTTCTAGAACTTTTCTGATCCTTGATCCTATTCCCTTTCTTTCCCCTTTAAGCTCCAGATGCCCCCAGGATGAACTGAAATGTGATTTCACCACTGATTAAGTTCATTCTTTGTTTACTTCTAAAATGCATCCTGTGTTGCTATATCTGCTAGAATATTATGGTCCAAGATCATTGATCCTCCCTTCTCACAAGCATATCTGTGTAAAGGTTGGAGGGCTTTCAATGCCCTTAATTTTTTAAATGAACTCTATTCCTAAACAATTGCAAAGTTTTCAGATTTTTCCTTGACTTCCTTTTGTTACCAAGTCTCACCATCAACATGACTGAAAGTGATCCATAAAATCCATGCAGAGCCTGGATAATTCCTTGTTTTAGCTTTGTCTGTTTGTGAGGCTGCCAGCAGTGGGAATAGGATCAATTGCTGGTACATGAGCTGGCTTTTTGGAATATTGCTCAACCTTGATGCAGAAGGGAGGGGCTTGGTCTTGCCTCAACTTGATGTGACAGGCTTTGTTGACTCCCTGTGGGAGGCCTTACCCTTTCTGAGGAGTGGATTGGATGGGGATGGCTGGGAAGCAGGGGGAGAGGGAACTGTGGTTGGCATGTAAAATGAATTAAAAAATGAACTGTTCTCTAATTCTTAGTCTCATCCTCTATAAAATCTCCTGACATAGACATGATGCAGGCAAGTTCTTGTGAGAAGACTAACCCTGAGAACAGAGACAAGTGATGCAGAGTTTCTGAGAAGTGAGGCTTACTGGAAGATTCTTGTGTTAGCTGTACTCATGACCTCAGAAGGGATTTGGGGAGCCCAGCCTCACTCCAGTTCCCTTTATAGTGATGTGATTCCTTCTTCTCCCCTGTATTCCCTCCATTAAGATGTCGTATATCACAAGATACTCATCAAACCTGAGCCAATATTAGAGAGCCAGAATTATTACATACATAATTTCTTATCTTGATAAAATTATATTATTTCAAACATTTTATTTTGAAATTTGAAAACTTATCAAAATGGACATAGGTACCAGAAAAGTTGTCCATGACTATTACTATGTCTGTGATGTGGAGGCAGCTTTGTAATTGGATAATAGGTTGTTAGAGAGTTTGAAGGAGCAGACTAGAAAAATCTATGATTTTAGTTAGTGCTGTAGACCATCCCATGAGATATTAACAGACAGGGATATTAGGTGACTAATCTCAGATGATGATAAGGAACCTGTCAGAAATTAAAGGAAAGCACTCTATCCCAGAAGCAAAGGGAGGGAGGATAAATAGACTGCTTCCTAAAAGATATTGGAGGCAGAGGAACTGCCGCCACCATCTTAGGAAAAAGTATACAACCACTAAGCTATGTAGACCATCTTTAAGATCTGGAAAATTACAGTGTAATCACCACAGAAGACTGGACTATGGTATTAAGTAATGTACATGAACCATACCCACTGAACTAAGCAAAGAAGAAAACAAATAACATCAAATCCCAAAGCATTTCCGTAGATTTCCACTCATGCAGAAAGAACAGAGAAGAGCCATGACATAATCAGCAATGTTAAGTGGCAGACACCCACAACTAAACTGAACTG